GATTAACCTCTCTCTCTCTCTCTCTCACTGTCTCTTCCTTACTATATTACTTTCTAATACTCGTATCCTGTCCCACTACCCCAACCTATTTTGTAATAAAATGTATGTGAATGCAGTGCGATGCAATGGTTAAGCTCTATTTTATTTTAGGTAATTTAACTTATGAAAACAAAACACGTAGATCAGCGAAGAGTCTCTTTTTGGCGAATTCATTTTCTTAGCTGTACAATCGCAAATATATATGCATTGTTTTGTATGTATGTGTACATTAAGTTTGTTAAACAAAGTTACAATTGGTTAAGGTTACTTTTAACTAAACAAGTGAAGGTTGGTAATACAGGTCAAGAAAATCACGGTTATCACGGTTAGTTATTCTACGTCTAGCGAAATGTGTATGTTCCAGTAATCTAATTGACCTCGACCTACTAGTCTAACCTATAATGTAATTAACGTCACAGTCATTACACGGCATTTGGAAAATTATAAACACACATTTTTCCTTTACTTTCCCAGTGGAATATAGGGCTTCAAGTTTCTATAGCAATGGTGATTATTTTTTCAAGATAGGTTTACTAGCGTCATGCTAACCTGAACTTACTCCTCTTTAACAATCGTTTTTGACAACTCATCACTTTTGTTATATATATATATATATGTTGGGTGGTTGGAGGCAATCGACAAGAAGCCTTGGATTTAGGTTTCGTGCTAGTTGTCACTCATTAGTTAGCAAGGCATATCCGCAATCTTGAGGGAAATCATATTACTTCTGAGATTCGTATCCGACTCGCCCAGCGCTACGGTGAGAGACGTTACCATACTGTCACTAGGCTATAGGACACATCCTATTGACTCAAATATTATTAGATAGTGACTCTGTGAGCTGTTAAGTCAAATAGATATATCAGATCAATAGAGATCAGAGTCAATCACGTTAGTTATTGGGATATGAGGATTAACCCTACGAAGGTGAGTAGCAATTTAGAAAAAATATCAACAGTTTCAGTGAACATACTATTATTATTATTCCCCTGTGTTCCGAGTGGAACAGAGGACTTCAGCTTGTGTACATCTTTACTTTGTATTATGTTCTGCTGTCCCCTTTGACTGGCTAACACCAACACCGCACATAGTCTCTCATTTCCTCCTCCTCCTCCTCCTCCTCCTCCTCCTCACTACACAAACTCAACCACGTAACCCTCAGATCCACACACGCTCAACTCGTCGTCTCCAACTCGGGTTCCACTCGACCAATGACCTCGTTGGGGCGAGATGTCATTGGATGATCTCCTTATCACCGTATGTGTGTCCTGTCCATTCATTCATCCATCCATCTATCCACTTCTGTTATCTTCTTCTGATAATTTGTTGATTAGGCAATAGAGTCTTGCCTGACTGGTTCATCGACTGCCAGAGTTTCTTGCTCATAATTCATTCTGGCCAGTTGAACAGCTGATCTTCAACATGGAGGCGGGAATTGGGCAGCTGTTCACTTTCCAAATCTCCGGTATAGGCACTGAGTCATTCCAGTTGCACGTGTGAGGTGTACTGATTCGATAAACAAAGACTCAGTCAGTGATTAACCTCTCTCTCTCTCTCTCACTGTCTCTTCCTTACTATATTACTTTCTAATACTCGTATCCTGTCCCACTACCCCAACCTATTTTGTAATAAAATGTATGTGAATGCAGTGCGATGCAATAGCTGAGCCCTGTTTTTCCTAAGTCTTTTAACCCAGCAGAGTCAATCGAATCGGAAAACCCAAAATTTGTCTGACGCCCCTAGTGTTTGCATGTGACTACAGTAATATGAATTTCCTTGAAGTCTTATTAAGAAGTCTCTAACAGTGGAGTGTATGCATTAGGTCTTTGGAGATGACGAAAAATTCCCGCATGCAGCATTAGTTAGTGGTTACACTATATATCGTGAAGTGACAGAACTTAAATATTCATGCGCAACTGTATTCCAGATGAAGTGGCTAAATTTTCAACGAATTTTCCTCATAACCTGAAAGCTCTAGATTAGATTACTGTTAGGCTTGTTAGTGTGGGTTTGTGACAAAGAGTCTCGTATTACGACAAAACGGCTCTCTCTTTCATCTCTGATGCTGCCTGGATAATTGAACATGGTGACCTCCATTAAATTTCTTCCTTTAGAGGTCACTGGTTATTTTCGCGGTTGTCAACAATCTGTTATCTTCATCATGTCTCTGTTTTCGCTATTTGTTAACTTGAAATATCCTATCTTAGCTGATGGCATCTTCTGTCAACCTGCTGCAGGTTTTCACCCGTGTATATCTTCGAGTTTTAAGTGTGACACATTAAACATATATCATCCAAGCACGAAGTCCAAATCTGCTAGAGTCTGGTTGTCTGTCAGCTGTCATTAGCATAACATATTTTTTATGAAAACGTACCCTTAAAGAGTTCAGCTACTGATAAGTAGTATAATCCATGACTGCAAGAAATACTTGGCATCTCTGAATGTTTCAACTTTACAGGATTTTATCTTTAGCTGACAATGGTTAGAGAACGAGTGGAGGGCCGACAGTCGGGGGAGCACTAACAGACGATTGTTTCGTCCCCCTAATTTGAGACTAACCTCCAGGAGTGCATATCCATCACATGAGTTTGAACAGCCATGTACACCTTATGGCTACAAGGAGGCCTCGTAGACCATTCAGACACTGGGACCCTCCCGATTCAGTTACCAACCAATGAATTCCAACCTCTGCTAATTCGCGCACGATATAGTGCGATTGGCACTAGCTAATGTTATCGGGGACGAGTATTTGTCCTCACACCCTTCCCACCCTTCTGTACCCCAATGATCATGACTCACTTCCCATTGAAAGAATCCAGGTAACTGCCTACCCTACCTACCTAAATAGTGCCAGTCTCTAATGGAATCAGATTGATATTCAAGTGTTGGTTTTCGGGGATTTGATATGATTGGTAACAGGATTTCATCATGATCTGATATCTCTAATTGATGTATCAATCCGTGATCAAATTTGTAACAATCCATGAAGTCTTTTACTATCTCTGATTTGAACCAGCCATTCATCCACTTAGGGAGGTTTAGACTACGCGGTTGGTTGTGGGGTCTTTGATCATACTAAGACCCAATTGCTTGGGACCATTGGTTGATAATTTACCTTAAGAGTTTCTTCCTCAATGTCACAAATGTATTCTTCCCTTTTTTCTATGATCTCCTATAGCCGTAAAGTCGTTAGGTAGCTTTTACCTCACATACATACACACATGCACTAGTGTTTGGTCCGAGAATCAATCTAATGAGAACACTCTGTATCGTCTATGAGAGGGTGTTTTAGTTCCTTAGTATATCCCTTTCATTGCGATCTTTTTTTAACTCGTTATCATTGCATAAATTCGCAGCAAATAGTTTGTTTTTTCATTTTGTGAACACACACTGATGCAAATAGCAGTTTGGAATTCGCCAAGATGCAATAATTTCGTCCCATTTTGTGACTCATCAGGTGTACAACTGGATGTACCTACAATCCTCAAGGAATTAGTAAGTGATGGTATTGGCCCCACTCAGACTAGAACTCTGGGACACCTACCTGTCGTTCCAAATGCCGAATGCATTATCCCCTAAGCCTACGAGAACCATATTTTGGGGAGATGTGTCAACAGAACTGAGACACCGATCAGTTCTATCTCTCATAGACCCCAAAAAGTCAGCCTATACCTCTCTATATGACTGGCTGGCTTAAATCAACTGTTGAAGATTTCACTGGGATGGCGCGAGGTTTCGGTTTGACTACTCACCCTAGGTCTTTGTCAGCTAACATTATTCATCAAAGAAGGTGATGGCTTAACAGGTGTGCAACAGGTGTCCTCTCTACCGGAAAACCTCACTGGTTGGCCAACCCCCTTAACTTAAATTCTTCACATAAACACATCAGTATTACATCCCATCTTATATGACTTAATACACGCGGGAGAGAGAATGCAAACATATATGACTTGTCAAAGACAGCTAGCCAGTCAACCAGCCTTTTCATATTTTTCACTTTTAAAGGCGGCTATACTTCACTCACAGTTATGAAGAAGGACAGGGCACTGCTGCTCCTGTGCAGAAAACACGTTCTTTGATAAATAGTCGGATTTCACATCTACGCCAGGGGTGAAATAAATTAACAAATGTCACACGAATCTTTTGTATCTGTTGGTGATGATAAAGCATTCAAAATAAATGAAGTTTTAGTCAAAATATGCTCTAAATACCACTTCGCTCCTGCCTATCTTTAAGCTAACACTAGGGGGTCGATGTGATGCAGTCCTAAAGTGTCATCTGGCACATTTGACTGACAGCGAATCGCATACAAATTTTGTCAATCAAAGGGTCGATCCCGTGGAGCCTACTGAACAAAACAGTGATTTAGTTTATCTAATACCCTGCCGGAATGACTGTGTGTCAGTGAGAGCAAATACATAGTCAAAGTATTAGTAGGTCGAGGTTAGTCAAACTAGTAGAATATATAAGCCTAACAAAATCTAGATCTTTTACCCTAATATGATAAGAAATCTGAAGAATAGTTTAGTTATAGCACCATGCAATATGATGGGACAAGATGACAGTTCTAAAATCTAATATAACAGGGGGAGGGAGATATTAATAACGGAAGCTTTATTCATCATTCGGTCAACTCAAAGAGACAGTATGTGTAATAGAAATGATTCAAGTTCTGTGGTTCACTCTGACATCTGGAAAATCCTACTGCTACCCTCACAATGAATACGGGAAGGAATAAATAAAATTATAAAACTCAAATTTTCAAATTGTGTGATCATAATTGAGATAATTGTGAACGATAAATTGTGTTCGAAACGCCATCCAGTAAGTAATACTGTTTCACTATGTGACATATCTAATAAATAAATTAATATACGACTACATTTGTGCTACATTACTGCCAAGTTTAACGCACACATATTAACTAGTCAACCGTTTCTTCTTCGTTTTTTTTCTTTCAGTCGTTCGGGCTCTTCATCAAGTCTCGATAGTCATCTACACAAGAAATCTTCATCCACTGTCAGTATTGATAAAGCTATAAGCTGTCTTGCTGAGCAGATCCAATTACCCTTTGAACTGTATCAAGCCTTCCATGTGAAACCACCGACAGAATATGCAGTCAAGACAAGTTGCCTGAGCAATGGGAGTGCTAGTAATATTGGCAGATTAACACAAATATGTAATATTGATCCAAGTTTGATTGGGAGTAGTATTAGCAATCATAATAACAATAAAAACAGATGTCATTATTGTTTCCAAGTGAGTGGATCAGATTTTTTCAAACCTAATTTTTATCTGGTTGACTTGAAAGTTGATGACAACCGTTATGTCGTCTTTTTTCTGTTTTTGGATGTGAAGCTGTTGGTAGTACGAACCCATCACCCCTACCCAACGGCCAGGGATAAAACCTATGACATTCAGGCTTTGATAGGTAGTCTGTTATTATTATTGTTCTTTCGAGTTAGAGTGGAAAATATGACCTCGATGGCCAGAGCACATCTCCATTTCGTTCTGCTTTCCACTGTTCTCTTTAGCTGGCTGGCTAACCCCACAATAGCCTATATTCTCTCATCTCCTTCTCCCCGTCCTCCTCACTACACGACCTCCTACATGTCACCCTAAGACACGCACCCCACTCTCTTCTTTTCTACTAAGGCTCCAGTTGATCGATGGCTTGGTTGGAGCTTGATGTCATCCGACGGTCTAATTAGAAGTGGATGTTCGATCCATATCCATTTTCACTTACATATTTGTTGAGCGATAGGTTCCTTGTCAGTTTTTTCCCGTAGTCGCTTGTTGTTAATTCTTCCTCGCTGGCCGGCCATTTGATCTTCAATATGAAGCCAGCAAAGTAGGCAGTTGTTGATAAAAGCCTGACACAGTAGGCCTGTTCGAAATACTTTCCATTATTTGGATTTTATTAACCATCAAATTATATATTGTCTTATAATCTTGATAGATAATGGTGCATTGAATCAATCCAATGACCCTCCCATTTATGACTTCTGTTAATTCGTGATGTATTATACAGTGTGTCTAACTGATAGAATTCAGTCTTCACCAAAGACACATTACACTAGTTACTGACTAGTGTCTAGTCAAAAATTCGAACAGATTATGTTCTACATCAATGCTAATTCAGTCAGTCAGCCAGTCCGTTCTTCTGTATGAGTCAGAAACGTGGTATCGGAATGTCATGGGAAGCATTTTATACTGGTCAATTGCAGAGTTTTATGAGCAACTGCCCACTTCTCTGACTTCATACTGTATATCAGATCGCCAATTGGCCAGAGACAACTAACCCTAACAAACTCTGGTAGGAAATGAACCATTCAAGGACCTATTGCTCAAGAAATATTCCGAAGAAAATGGAGACTGATGGAATTGGACACAATCGCTGATGAGGAGACCTTTGAGTGATACTGAACACTGACCAGGCCGTCGCTCGAGTGGAATCCGAATTGGAAACGACGAGTTAAACCTGTGTCCGAGGGTGACATGTAGGAGATGAGAGGCTATGGCTAATCTTCGGACCAGCCAGCTAAATGATGACTGTAGAAAATAGGAGTAAATGGAGATGTGTCCTGGCTGTTGAAGCACGATGTTCCACTTGGAACCCAGGGGAATTATAATACTAATTCCATACTCTCTTCAACGCTCATTATGCATAACTTTACTATTTGATCCATATATATATATATATATATATATATATATATATATATATTGACTAACTTTGTGTACTTTTCACTATGTGGTATTTTGCAATATATTTGTATTTCTACATTTACTTCAACCCACCTCTCGAATAATCCTATTCCTTCAAGGTTATGTCTCCATCTCAAAGACTCCTGATGACATCAAGTACATCTGGCCTACAGCCGAATCGCGAAGAAAGAAATTCAACTGACAAGAATTATCTAACACGTTCTATGAGTGGTGAAATGTCTACGACTTCCAGTCCTATAATCACCAATATGTATGATAACAACAGTCCTTCCAAAGCTTCCTCTCCAACCTCCGCAGCTTCAGCAACAACTACGCCAGTGACTCTTCAATCTCAGGGAAGTACAACAGAGGAAACTGTCAATATTCCTTTCGTTATATATAATTATTCGTGTCAGTCCGCTTTGGAACGTGATCGTTGGGTCCAATAGTAAGTTGATTATTCTTTGTATGTACGTGTATAGGTGTGTGTGTGTGTGTGTTGGTTGGTTGATCGGTTGAATTCTCTACTGGTTTTTACATTTTTGTACATCTCTTGGTACCAAGGGAATAATAATAACAACAATCACTTTGTTCCAAACAGTAGTAACAATTTTAAAGAAGGACATTTTCAGCGTTTTTATACATATTGCGACAATTTAGCTGCTTTTGTAAACATGTTTTTGTTTTTGTGTTCCTTTACGTTCCCAGTGGAATATAGGGCTTCAAGCTAGAGGCTTGAAGTTTCGGTAGCAGTGATGTTTATTTTTACTGGATGGGATTGCTAACCTCATGCCCAACCTTCCCTCTTTGCCAGTCTAATTACTGGCTTAACCAGGTAAAGGACTGCGTTGGTGGCCGAAGATCAAGCCCAAGACTTCATGCGTGGTTGGATACATAAAATTAAAAAGGTTGTTAGTAATAATAAAACTACAAAAAGCTGAAGGTTGGCAGAAACATAACGAATTATAAATGGATAGTGTCACAGATAATACATGTGATAGTGATAATAGTAGCAATAATCTTTGCTTTCACTTTGAAGATCACTAACTGATTTAAGAAGTTTGTGAATTCCTTCCTCACATCGGAATCTCCCTCTTTATACAAAACTCGTGCTAAATATGGTATGGAGAATTCCTTTATATTTAGTAGTTGTATGAGCATAAATCCTTTTAATGTTTCTTCTGGTTCCATCCATCCTCCTTGAGAGAAATAAGGAGAGAGAAACTGTGAATAAGTGGAGAAGATGTTCGGTATCAGACAAGATAACTTTAATCAACTGTTTACAATAATTAAAGTGCATATCTACACGTAGAATTTCAGTTACTTGAGTCACACACACACGCAACTAACGCTACTTGCTTGCAGACTTCAGTGGTCCATGTAATATGATAAAGTATTTTTTGAGAAGTCCAGGGAAAAATAAGTGGACAAGAGGAACATTTATCAAGGTGAATGGGTAGAATACACGAATCAACAATAAATTGTAAGAGAACAGGGTTGAGTTGAGTTAGACAAACAGAAAGTCTTAACTTCATTTTTAAGTAATAAGTCAAACGAAAATGTTTGTGCTTAGACATCAACAGGATATGAGACGACCAACAGAGAGTTGAAGCGAAACTGATGCTACCGAGATAGGAGATATTTGTTTTACTCTCTATCACAGTGTCGTCAATATTATAGGAATCATGAGAATGAATCAGTCAGTCAATCCCAACAAGTCTTGTTCGCATCTGAAACTAAAATGAACAATATGACACATTTAGATGGATTTAGTATCAAATTATTTAGGTAAGACCACTTGTCTACTTCAGGTAAGAATATATTTACATATAAGAGCAATCGGATGCGGAAATCAGTAGGACAGAAATAGTTAGATAATCGGCATATTTAATGAAGTTTGCTTTGGAAGTATACAGAAGGTCTCATTTATATATGTGTAAAACTTGGGCGCTGTGGTAGTAAGACTAAAAGGTCTCATTTATGTTCAAAATGAATGAATTTATAACTGCAGAGCCTATCATCAGCGTTAAAATCACAAATCAATAGAAATTCGAATTCATGCAATGGTCATTGAATCGGGTTAGCCCCTTTAGTGATTGAATGATTGTCAACGAGCTCGCTTTTTAACCACCGGCGGGTGTACTGGTTGGTTTGGATCTCTGTGCTTGTGATGGTGCTTATTCATGAAGGGCAGTCCTAAAAAAGGAAGTCAAAACAGTTGTTACAGTCCAGTACTCTTTTCTTCTCGGTGATTCCCTAACACACGCCAGTCTACAATCAAATTTTACATACGTGAGACCTTTGGTCTGAAGTTAACTTCAGAATGTATTATTGTCATTATCATTCCCTTGGGTTGTGAGTAGAACAAATATAGGATTTTATTTAGGTGGCGGACATATCTTCAGCTTACTCTGTTCACTGTAGTATATTTTTGTTGGTTAGTTCCGTAAGTGTTCGGATGATTTCATTTTTTCCTCCAACTCACCACACGATCTACTTACTCCATGCTACCATCCTCAGGCACACACTTAAGCTGTCTTCTCTTATTCGGACTCCTTTCCATGGTATGTGTGGGGCTGATGTTTGATGTCATTCAGCGGCTTCCTCATTCTATGTTCAAGCTGCCTCCGCTTTCCCCACCATATTTGTTACCTAGGTGACAGGATCCTGGTTGGTGTGTTGCCAGCCAGATCTCCTTGTTGCTTGTCCTTTCTGGCTGGCGATCTAACCTTTGGTATGGGGTGAAAGGCAGCTGTTGATGCGAATCCTTAACAGGCTGTTGGAGACATAGGTTAGAGGACCATTGAAAAACCAGCCAAGGAGTACTGTACATATGTTCCTCCTCTCTTGTTTGAGACTCTTGATCAGTATGCACCAATCACATGGGTTCGAACCCACGTAGCCTTCCGGTTATAACGTGAGCTTTTAGACCATTCAGACCAATGAATTCCAACCTCTGCCGATTCACGACATAACGCGGTTGGCACTAGCCAATGTTACCGGTGGTGACTATTTGTTCTCACACCCACCCGGCCTGCTATATCCCACTGATCACGACTTGCTTCCCACTAGAAGAACCCAGGTAACTGCAAGTCACTAGCGAGCACCAGGTTGGTATTCAAGTGTTGGTTTTCAGGGATTTAATTTGATTGTTTTCAGGATTTCATCATGAACTGACATCAGTTAGAGGACCATTGGATAGCCTGGGAGTACTGGATAGCTATTTAGTGCAACAAGTGCCTGAACCATGTTCGAAATCTAAATCACTGTTCTTTATTTTGATAGGATACTAGTTAATAACTAGTAACATGTGTCTCTTCCTTTATTTATTGGTTCAGGCTGAATTTCACCGTCAGTCAGGTTTGCCATATGGTCACCTTGCTAGATGGTGACTTGCTATCACAGTGTGCTGAATATTCTTGATAATCGTTTTAATGTCCAGTCAAATTATTCAGTGCAGTCATTCTTCAGAAGGTCAGCCGCCAGTCCGGATAATTTAGTTGTAAACTCTCTGTTGGGTGATATCACTCGCCAATCAGGCCATCACCCGATGGTGACAAGAAGCAGATTATAAGAGCCTATGAGCGATCACGGAAACAGCAGTTAAAGAAGTCTACATTGAGCAGGATGAAGTGGAGATGTGCCCGTCTGTTGAAGCCTTTTAATCCACTCGGAATCCAAGGGAATAGGAATAATGACAATATAGGGAGTGCGTCGGTGGCACAGTGGTTAGGATCCTCGCCTACCATGCACATGGTCCGGGGTTCGAGCCCACGCCGACGCACACCCGATATCTATGGTCGGCCTGCGAGTTTTGGGCTACCGATATCCACGCTGAAAATTCCATACTTGTACCAAAAATACGGTGTGGAATCAAGCTGTAAATCACAAATAAAAATAAAAAATAAATAGATCCACCAGGTCGCGTGAAAGTAGTGTGAAGGAATTACCCGCCATCAGAAGCTATGAATGGCATATGTCAGCATTTCGAGAAAGAGAGAGAGAGAGGAGGATCGTTGCCTACCCACCCACTTTAGGTCATAGTATGTCGTTACAATCTACTGATTTGATTTGTGAGTAGTAGGATACCCAGGTAATCATCTCAATCAATGAGTAGTATATTGTTTCACATATTAATTTTCGTTAACATACATGTAACAAACAGGTTATGACAGCATGATTTCGATATTGATTGGTTAGTCATGACTATTATAGAATGAATTATAACGATGATAGGTTGATTGTGTTGTGATGAGATCGTCTTCAACCAATCATCATTTAGAAATTCATTGTTAGACGGACACACTACACACACACACCGTTACATTATTCACGGTAAAATGAATAGATGGACGATAGATATGTAAATAGACAGACAGATGCTTACTAGACAAAGGAGCACACCGTCAACGTTTAGTTTATCAATAGGAGAGAGTTACTCAGATAGACACACATAACACAAAGACAAGTGAATGTACAACCCTTATATAGACAAATTTCATACCCCCTGAATATTAACCAATAGCACGAGAGGGATGAAGTGGATCGATAAATATTGTGTGTGTAATTCGTCGTTTTCTTTTTGCTGTCACGTGAGACTTTGTATTAAAATCGATGTTGTAAACATTTATTGAGTCAGTGCGTGTCTAGAGACAAAGATAGAGAGAGAGAGAGGGAGAGCCTATATATATGCATATGAAGTAGATCAATTTAAACACATTCACGTCAATGTGACGATGAGTTAGGGTTAACACACGATTACGGAATAAGAAAGATGTGAAACATATTCTTCCAGTCTTTCTGATTAACATACAGCATAAAACACATAATTGGAATTACTGAAGTTCATCACGGAGGAGTCAGTACCACCACTAGGAATATTTCTCGCCACACACATACAAATGGATCACTGTTTTCGTAAATTGAGAAGTTTCTCTTCTCTGAAACTGAAAGATCACGATGTGGATGACGGCCAGTATTCAATGCCATCATCGACAAGAAATTTGAGTGATCTCAACTTGAAGGACTCCCACCACCAGTACTATTATGGCTCTCAAATATCATCAATCAATTCATCACCAATATCGTCATTGAAACCACGTGTTCATTCGTTAATAAGAATTCATAGGAATCATAATGACAATAATGGCGATCAGGTTGACTACAAAGGGTGCACAACATCAACAACCACATTGCAAAGACCAATATTAGATTACCGTTTCACTCCACCGTTGACAAGATCTTTAATTTCGTGAGTGATTGATTGATAAAGGTGTTGTTTTATTTCGTCCTTTTTTGACTTGGTTTTTTTTAAGGAAACAGGTTTTAAGTATTGGTTTTGTAGGGGTTTTTTGTTTTGATTGGATGGAGGATTTCATCATGAGCTGACATCAGTTAGAGAGCCACTAGAAAACCTGGGAATACTGGACAGCTGTTTGGTCCTAGTTT